ACAACAACAACAACAACAACAACAACAACAACAACAACAACAACAACAACAAACAACAACAATGATGATGATGATGATGATTATGATGGATGACGGTAATGATCAATTAATGTTAATGTTGACACTATTTGGTGATAATGATTAAATGTTATGCTTCAACAATTTCTGTTTTCTGTTCCTCTATTCCATACTGAATATAGAAATATCCTTTCACTTTTTTTTTTCGTTTTTGTTATTAAACATAAAAGCGCTTATTTTTCGGCGCTTATGTGTATTTTACATCCAGGTGGCCCATTTCATAAATATAATCAGTTCATTTAGCAGCTAATATTTTAGAATATAAAGCCAAAAAAAGGAAAAAACAGCTAATTTTTTATGAATACATCAATTTTTCTGAACATTTTATCAGAGAGACCAAATTTAATTTGAATTTTGAATTTCGAAAACAAAGAAAAACTAATTTCGGTTCTTAATTTAGTTTTAAATTAAAATTTAATTTTAATCTTAGCTAAATACTATTATTTTGCTCGTACTATTTGATATAGGGTATTTTTGCATTAAACTTTTAATAATATCTTTCTGATGAATTTGAAAATTAATTAATGATTTGCTGGAATGAATGAAAAATGAATGGTTTTTATATCTCATTCTTAAAAATTATCTTAGCGATTTGATTGTTTTTTAGGTTATTTGATTTTATATTAATGTTAATGTCATGTTTTGCATGTTAATTAATGTTTGCATATTTTTGCATGTTAATTAATGAATGTTTGCACCACTTTATTTCTTTGTCACCTTTTGTTTATCATATTTACGCTATTTTTTCTTCCTCATTTTTCACGTCATTATTATTATATTGTATTCCTACATAGATTGCTATCATATTTTTGATAATTATCAGATATCATTTTATATATACAAACTTGACTTATTACAACGAAAAAATTCTCGGACATATAATTTAAATATCAAAATACTTTTGCAAATATATAAACAGAAATGAAAATATTCTTCCTAAATATGTAATCAAATATATAATCAAACATTGATATACCTTCCTAAACATGTAATCGAGTATCAAAAAAATTATCCTAAACATGTTTAAACAAATATGATATACATTTTCTTAGACATATGTAATCAAATATAACGAAATATCAAAAACTTCATATGCTGTTGTTTTATCGGGTCATTTTGTTTTAATTATTTCTACGAAATTAATTCGAAATGTTTGCTATAAAAAATAGCTTTGAAACGAATAACTTATGTTTTCTTTTTTTCCATTCTCTCTTTTCACTTACTTTACTTTATCTTAATTAATATGCAACATTTTTGTGGAAAATGGAAATAAAGTATAAAAGCGTAAGGTTTTATGGAATAAGGAAATGAGAAAGGAATGAGAGAGAATGACAAAATTGAATCATTATTTCTCAACTAATCAATAGCAGATTGCGAATTAAATTTGGTTCGAAAAATAAATTTAATTAAATTTCTCTTAAAAGATCATTTGCCATTCATTCCTCGCATTAATGACATCATTTTAATTACATTTTGGTTTATTTGATCCCTCCAGAATTTGCTTTCTTCTTCATGGCTAATTCCTTGATATTACGTTAAGCGATTATGATAAATGTTTTCTAATTTACTACTCGGAAATAGGACTTCACTTTGATCAAATTTAATCAGAACAAAAAAAGAAATAAAAAAATTTCTTAAAATAATTAGTATGAAATTTTTTTACAAATGAATCATTTACTTTAAATAGCAACAAAATTGAATAAATTAGATTAAGAAAATTATAACTTCCATTTTCTTTGAGTTATCGAGCCAATGAACTTTTGTAATTTATATTTTTCTGAAAACAGTCACGTTTGAATTGTTTTCCATAAGTTAACAATAATTTTTTTTAATGGATTTTCCTTGGGCTTCATTAAGGATCAATTAAAATATATTTGAATAATCTATGGTTATAACGCAAAACTTTGCTATTTTTAATTAAAACTAATTAAAATATGCATATATATATATATATATATTAAAATGACGGAGATCTTTTCGATTCACGGGGATGGAACTTTTCGGTTTTCTGATATTCATCAATTATATTACATTCGGAAATGAGTAAGCAAAAAGAAATTTTTTCTCAAGAAATTTCTCCGATCATCGAGGATAATTTAATATTCAATCTATTTGCTCTTCCAACATTGTAAAACATGCGTTTACATTGAATTTATGTCGGAAAATATACCAGAAACAGAATGATAAAAATTGGATAGGAAAAAAAAAGAAAAACAAGGGAAAATACTTGTCTAAAAGAAAATGGATCGTTGAAAGGCAGTAGAAAAGAAAAAAAATTATTGTTTATTTGTAACAAATCTGTAAAATACTCTTCTTTCTTTTTTCGTCAAAAACCTCTTAATTTCATGAAGAAAGAAGATGAAAAGAAGGAAAGGATAAGTTGAATGAGAAAATAATTGAAGCGGAAGAAGTTGTTGCACATACGGGGATAAATTCTCTTGATATTATATTATCATCATCTACTTGGAAGAAGGGGAAAAAATGGACCATTTTATTTCATTTTTTTATTTTTGCAAAGGAATAAGAAGAAAAGCGGAAAAAAGAAATGAATAATTTACAAACATTTTATTTGTTTAACAAATAAGATGAATGCATTGTAAATTTGAATAGCAAAAAGAATTTATGGCGCATTTTGTTTAAAGCAATTAATCATTTAAATGAAATGGAGCAATTAATATTGAAGCCATTAACTACTATAATTAACTGTCTGCTAATGATTTACAGTAAGAAAAAAAAGAAGGGAAGTAAAATTTAAAAGCCAAAAGTTCGAATTTGAGCCTTACCAATTTTCAGTGAAGCATGGCCAAATGGAATTATTCGTTCGAACTTGGACCTTATCGATTTTCAGTGGAGGATGGCCTACCTATATGGAATATGAGAGGATACATTTTGTTATGGAATACATTTACAAGGCCTGAAAACCTTTTAGGTCCGCGTTTCCTTCAAATCATTCTTAATGTCTTAGTAATTGTGCACATATGTTTCCCTCCATTGTTATTTACATATACGTATGTTCGCAAGTGTATGTATAAGCGT